GATTTTGGATGTTCCCAACACAAAGAAACGATAAACATTCGAGGCTAATTGCCCTGATCATCACACATTGTATACATGTTTTGAAATGTCAGGCTGTACCCCATAAATATGTACAATTACTGTGCAGTGATTCGAGATAAAAACTATAATTTTAAAAATCTAAAAAAAGAAAAAATAGCTGCCCTTGACCCACACCCCCACAAGGTCCTTCCTGTTTCTCCAACCACTTAATGTCAGAGCTTCCTGTGTGAGTGTGCTCTTGGTGCCCACAGACACTCCTTACACCCTGCCTCCCCCAAGAGGAGTCACCCCCGTCCCATAATGCCAGGCAAGGCTACATGCATGATGTTGACCAATGAAATGTGTGTAGGGATGATGCCTGTCACTTGCAGCAATCATAGAAGGAGCCAGCAACTGGTCTGTCTCTGTGTCTTTTCCCAGGAGTGTTCTGGGTCAAGGATGCTCTTCTGACCCAGCTTCCCACACGGAGCCCTCTCTCATCTTTGTTTGGCTAGCCTTTGTTGCTGGCAGCCATGGAAACTCTGGGGCACTTGTTATCCCAACGCATCCTCCCATGTCCTGGTTGACCCAACACCATCGCCTTCCTTCCCTCCCCTTCACCCTTATTTGTCCTTCTCTGTCTTCTCCTGGATGTGAGCTCGCCACTGGTACCTCTCCATGGCTGATCAGTCTGGTGCTTCAGTCCACAGCTCTCTCTCGGCGGTCATCAACACATCGATTCCTCCTGGAAACACTGGGCTTCAGGGACACCATCTTCTCCAAGGTTGCTTCTGCCCTCCTTAAACGGTCACACCACCATTGGGTTCAATCCCACGTCTTCTCTCTTGACTATCCTAGATGACTTCATCCATTCCCACGGACTAAATGCCGTCTCCATGCCGATGGCTCCCAGGTGCCCTGCCTCCTCTGGGTTCCTATGTTGTGCATCCAGCTGTTACCACTGCATCTGAGGCCACTCAGGCTTCACATGTGCCCAAGCCTGCTTCCTAGGCTCCTTCAGGCCCATAGGGGTACCTGGTAGAGCCACTATGGTCCTCCCAGTGCTCCCATACCTCACAGAGGCTCATCTGGGTGACATCCTGAACAATTCTCCATGTTGCCCATTGCTTTCTGCCACTGGGACCTCACAGCATCTCACACAGGCTGTCGCCACAGGCCTCCTTACCGCCTGTCTTTCTCTTTATCAACCTGTATTCCCCAAGTCTGGCTGCATCACCTCCCTTTCAGCCTCTTGCTCCTGTCTCTCTAACCTCATCCCTTTTCCTTTCCCTCATCTGTACCAAGTCCTGCCTCAGGGCCATTGTACCAGTCATTCTCTGAAGCTGTTCCTCAGTTTACCCCTGTTCCTTATTTTTCTTCTTCCTACTCTTCCTCCTCCTCCTCCTTGAGACAGGGTCTTGTGTGTCCCAGGCTTGCTATGTGGCCAAGAATGACCTTGAACTTCTGGCCGCCCTGCTTCTACCTCCCAAGTGCTGAGATTGCAGGCATTCCTCACCACACTTGCCTTATGTGTTTCTGGGATTCGAACCCACGGCTTCAAGCATTCTAAGCAAACACTCTGCCAATTAAGCCACATTGCTAGCCCTTGTTCCTCATTCTTATCCTTTAGATTACAACTCAAATGTTGAGCTCATAGTTAAAGTAGGTACCTTCTTTCATCTAAATATTAACCCCTTCTTTGTGCTTCCAGCACTTAATTTGGTCTTTTTGTATCACCCCCCACCCCACCCCACCCACATACACAATGGAGGACCCATGGGTGAAGGAGCTGTGTCTCCTAATGTCGTAGAGACAACCATGAGCCCATCCTCTCCCAAAACATGGTGGGAAGTGGGGACAGGTGCAGAACAGGGTGATTAGCAGGTACAGGCCATACTCAGCCTTCATATCAGTCCTGAATGCCTTCCACGGACAGCCAGGGAGGGGTGGCTCTTCAGGGTTGGAAACAAGCAGAGAGCTGCTTCTTTTCATTTGTAGCTCAGTGTTTGGAAGCACCGCTCCCTGCATACCCCTTCCCCCACACCTCACCCCCCAGCTCCCTGTGGAAACTGCATGCCTCTGGAAGCCCCCATACAGGCATCTCCATAGATAGTTGCCAACTCCTTCCAAGGTCCCATGCCCTGCTACACACACCTACAATTTGCTGTTGTTTGTGGGGAGTGGCAGTTGGCTCTACAAGGTTTCTGGGCAGGTGGCAAGTCCTGGAAACCTCCTGGGAAGGATGAATACTCAGAACCCCGCCCCCCTACCTCCAGGGTGTGATGGCACATGCTCACAATTCCAGAACATGGTGGCAGGAGGTAAAGGAGGTTGGGGCCTTCCCTGGCTACATGAGATCCTGTTAAAAAGAAGAGGAGGAGGAAGAAATGGTGGTGGTGGTGGTGGTGGTGAGAGGGAGGGAAACCCACATCCCCAACCTAGGGCCCTCAAACCACGCAGCAGGGTTGGTTAACATGAGGGCATGAGGACATAGGTTATGAACTGGGAGTGTGGGTGAGGGGTGCTGGAAGAGGTAAAGATGTCCGTGAGCCTTGCATTTCCCACAGAAAGCTGTGGGGATGATGGACTGGGACAAAGGACAGAGTAAAACGCAGGATGCCTTCCAAGAATCTTAGCCCGGGGTTAAGTACCTCTTAGCATATGTTCTGTTAGAACTCTGGACGGTGGTGGTGCACGCCTTTAATCCCAGCACTCGGGAAGCAGAGGCAGGAGGATCTCTGTGAGTTCGAGACCAACCTGGTCTACAAGAGCTAGTTCCAGGACCCCCGCCAAAGCCACAGAGAAACCCTGTCTCTAAAAACCAAGAAAAAAAAAATTCTGGATTCTGGGACCATCCTGAGTTGGAGTGAATACTGCCAGAATGTCTTGCCAGCCTGGGGACAGTATCTTTTGCTAAAATAAGTGACACCATCTCCCATGCAGCCTGCTCAGGCCCAGAAATTTTAGGTGCCCAGACAGGCTCACTAGGTTTCCCTTGCTTCTAAGGCCTCTAGGAGATTTTATGGCCCATCTGTAGTTGCCCAGATGAAATGGGCTCCCACTGGGATGGGTCATAAGTTGGGGAAGTGCCTTAATACAGAGCTGCACAGGGTAGCCCCCAGTCCCACCCCCTACAGTATACCCCTGCAGGCAAGGAAGTGAGGCCTGATGGCTAGGATATGGAGACCCCAAATTGCTCTCAGGAGAAGTTGTAGGTCCAATTAGCATGGTGCTGGCAGTCAGGCCTGCTTCAAGGGACCAGCCCAGGCAGACAAAAGCCAAAAGGTTATTCCAACGGGGAGCTGCCCACATCTCAGCCGAGCGGGATCCTGGTACAGGGAGAACCTGCAGGTCCTGTTTGATTCAGAGTATGAAGAGGAGAGCAAGGGCAAAGAGCTGGTGAGAACAAAATAAGACACCTCAGCGCCATCCCCAGCCCCAGTATGGGCTGCTTCTCCTGGAGTCCCTTGCCTGAGGTGCTACAGGAAAAGGGGAGTCTGGGCTGTCATCCTGGGTCTCTAGAGATAGATGTAAGTTTATGTGCAGGCATCAGGCAGATGCAAATGCCTCACATACGAACTATGTCTACATCCATGAGCATGCAGGCCAACGCATGTGAGCACATAAACACCTTAGGTACACACCTGCACAGACATGCACATAAATGTAATGCTCGGATATCCACAGCTCACTCACGCTTTGCCGAGACTATAGGTACTGAGCCAAAGTGTGCTGTTATATTAACATAGGCTTGTGTGGTCACTCCCTTGCTTCTTTTTTTCCCTAGGATTATTTTTTATTATGTATTTATTTGGTTTTTCAAGACAGGGTTTCTCTGGCTGTTCTGGAACTCACTCTGTAGACCAGGCTGGCTTGGAACTCAGAGAACCACCTGAATCTGTCTTCCAAGTGCTGGGCTTAAAGGCATGTGCCACCAAATCTGACTTCCTCTCTCCCTTAACCTGGTCGTTTCTGTTTGAAAGGCTCTGGTCCTGGCCCTCCTTTAGGGTGACTAAGTTCTTCTGGTTTGTTTGGAACTATTCCAGTTTAGTGCTGAAAGTCCCGGACCTTGGGAAACTCCCCAGTCCTGGGCAAAACTGACTATGTGCCCCTCTACCCCAGGAAAGGCCTGGTGTTAGGTCCTCAGAGCTGTCATCATCTGGTCACTTCCTTGATGGACCTAGGGAACCTTGATGACAACCAGGTCTCTGCTCTCATCCTAGAGGCTCTGAGTCTCCCCAGGAGTAATTACAACCAGTGTTTACTGAACACAAGCCAGGTCCTGGGCTTGGGATTTTCTAAACCTAGGGCTTTCTGCAGAGACTTGAGAAGGTGCTGTCAATGAGAGCCTACTATGTGCAGGGAACACACTGATCACTTACTGTATGCAGGGGACACGCTCATCAGGACAGAGGAGACAGAAAGTAAACAAGAGATTTGCGCTGTGCATTAGAAGAGGTGGCATGCTGTGGAATAAAATGTGCCCAGGAAGAGGCACCTTGACAATCAGCTGCTTACGAGTGGCCTTGCTGGGAAGATGCCCTGCACACATACTGGGAACAGTTCCAGGAGGAGGGAACAGCATGGGCAAAGGCAGGAGGCTGAGTGCCTGGCATATAAGAGGGACAACTGTGAGGTCTGTGTAGCCAGGGAGAGGCAGTGCCTCTGGGCCGTGATCTAGACCTGGGAGCACCTTAGGGTGAGATGGGAGCCATGGAGGATTTAGGCAGAGGGACAGCATATTCTGACTGGGTCTTCCCCTGGGCCTCCCTAGCTATTGTTGAAGGAGATGTGGGGGTGAGGATGGGTCCAGAGGGTACATCCAGGAGGCTACTGGGAGAATGATAGCAGTAGTGGCTGCGGTAAGTGGATAGATGCTGGATGAATTCTAAAATTAAGCCAACAGGATTTCCAGAGAGTGGAGTATGGGCTGAGGGAAGGAGCCACTACGGTTCTGAGGTTGATCCTGAGCTCAAGTGAGTGGGTCATCTTCACCCAAGATGAAGAAGCTTCGAGCGGAGGCGGTGGTGGAGGAAGAGAGAGGCTTGGTTTGGATGGATTCAGTTAGACAGATGGAGATGCGGGAGCGGTGGGTGGGTACCAGCATCTGTGGGCTCAGAGACTGGCCCAGCCTTCAGTGATTGTCCCATTTTGCAGGTGAGAAAAATGAGGATCCTGCAAACATTAAAAGGAGCAGCCAGGATTGAACTTGGGCCTCTGGCTCCACAGCCATGCTCTTTTCACAGCTGTGGGAGGAGGCTGCTGGCCATTCTGCCCAGCAGTGGAGGCTGTTGAAGGGGAGCCCAGCTGTTCCCTGGCCAGCTTCCTTGTCTTCAGGACTGAGCCAGGAAGGAGCCTATGCTTAGAACACAAGTGGCATAAGTGCCAAGTGGCCTGAGGCGCCAGCAGCCCCAGGAGTGCAGCCGGCCTGGCCTAAGGCCGCCATCCGCGCAGCAGAGAGCATTCGGTTAGCATTGATTGCTCAGAGCATCTGGCCAGGCTGGGGGCAGAGGAGGGAGGGAGAGCTGAAGGCCAGAGAGACTGGCTACAAGGCAGAGCAACCTGCAAGCTTCAGAGAGACCCACTGACCTGCCCAGGAGTCATGGAGAAGCTAGCCATGGCGATGTCCCTACTCAAGGGCAGGGAGAGCAGCCCCCTAGGGTGCTTACGCTGGAGTGACTGTCCTGACACTCCTGGGCCTGAGAAAGCTGACTAGCCCTATTTGAGGCTGCTCTGCCCACTCCTGGGCAGGAAGCTGAGGCTAGAGACACAGCCTGAAGGCAATTAGGCAGGGTCTGTCCCACCGCTGTGTTCTTCAGCTATGGCTGGCCACTGATGCCCCAGCTGTGGCCGGCCACTGATGCTCTCTGGGCACCTTGTTTTCTCCTGTGAGTGATGTTGCTCCCACAGGGTTATGAGAACTTCAATTAAAGGCCCTCCTCCCAGAGCCAGATCTTCCTCATTAGTTCCTTACCTATTTCTGGTGGCCAGGGTACTTCAGAGCCCCTACTACACTGGAACGTGTGGCCTACATATAGCAGACAGGCCCTTTTGATGCTAGTCCCAGTGCCAAGCTCTCTGGCTACCCCAGCCCTGGGTCTCTCCAACCCAGTCTTCCTTGGAGACTCTGTACCACTAGAGAGGGTGGGAAAACACAGGCCCACTTTTCCACCTCAGTGCCTTTGCAAATGCTATTCTATTGCCTTTGCCTTCCTGCCTATCCCACCAGGTCTGTTCCCATGGTCATTCATAGGCACACCTAGTGAGGTGGCTGTCCATGCTCAGCTTGGCAGAAGGCATTTGGAGTTTGTAGGCCAATCTGAGGACACTGCCAGCTCCCTTGCCTGCTTGTCCTCTGTGATGTGCTCAGGGTTAAGCACACTCCCCTCACAGCTAAGGCAGCTGCACAGAGCAGGAACCCTCTCAGCCCAGTTCATAGGTCAAATGCTCTGGGAGGTTGAGGAACTGCTGGCATCACACAGGGGACCTGGTGACCAAACAGTGCTGATTAGTGGCCCAGGGGTATCAGAGATTTTCCTTAACCTCCCCTGTATTTCCCAGGTACCTACCTGGGCTTTACCACCCCAGTATGCAAATGGACCATGACACTCATTGGCAGGCCCTCCCACCACTGGCTTCGGTGACTTTCCCAGACTCAGGGGCAAGTGTGAATGGAAGAAGGAATGAATGAGTCTGTGCAGCCGCTTGGGGAACTCGTGTGGGGGGGAGGCTGGAGGTTTGGGAGTAGCAAAGCAGAAGGCAGTGAAGGGCATCTCCTGGAGGGAAGGCAAGGAGAGCTGGGTCTTCTCCCTTCCAACCCCTCGAGCAGAAGGCAGCCCTGCCCAGGAGGGGCTGGGGAGTCTGGCAGGAGAGGTACAGGGCCCCTCCACAGAGATTCGCTTCCTGCTAATTTGCAATCTTAAAATGCATAGCAAAGGCTCCATCCTCATTGCTGGTACATTAATCAGGCAATCAGTGGGGCAGGGCTCCCAAGGGCCTCATGGAGAGGGCACAGAAGGCGCCGTGGTGATGCAGTGCCTGCCTCCCTGGGAAGAAACCTGCTGGATGACAATCCTAGGACTGGCACCTGCTGGTTCAGGCTGGGGGTCTGGAAGTGGTCAGGGATGGTTGGGACAGCTAGTCCAAGGTCTTGGAGTAATACCACTTGGCGTTTAAAGGCATGCATACAAACTTGGTTGAGCCCCTCAGCAACCCCCTCTCATTAGAAGAAATGGAGGTTCTGGAAAGCTATGGCATGTGGGAAAATAAGAAAGGACAGGTATCAGCTGCCCTGAACCTGCATCCTATTGGTATGCTTCCAGAAGAGCCCTTCACTGTGTAGGAAGTGACTGTCCCACACAGTCCTTGTGGTCTCATTGCCTTAGACCTCCTATTGATGATAACCTGCTCTTCCTTGAGGTAACGGGAACTGAGCCTGGTCCTGCATCAGGTCTTGCCTAGAGTCCTTTGTCCTCCTGTTGCCCTCTTTGAGGGAAAACCACAATTGTACCTTCACCCTGTCCTGATAGCTACCTTTTCCACTTGCCACCATTCATTCATAAACTAGTTACTAAGCCCACACCTGAGGTGTGGTGCAGGGTTTTTTTTTGTCTTGTTTTAGTTTGGTTTTTTTTGCCTAAATAGAGCCCTGTGCACTGTTATTCCCTGGAAGCTCCTACTTAAAGGTTACCCAAGGGACCCCCAGATTCTTCTGGGATACACAGAGACAGAGCCGCCACAGCAGGTGGGAGAGCACAGCACAGAGCAGGTTGAGGGTGCAGGGAAAAGCACTCTGTAAACTCGGGTGAGCTGTGCAAATGTTGACTGGCATTAGTGCTAAGCCCACCACAGCCCCTACCCGCTTGCAGCTGCAGGCCAGGGAGGAAATGCTTTATTTTCACAGGACCCCCAATGGAGGCTCTGCTGTGTCTCCTTCAGCCTAAAATGGGAGAAAAACATTGTGAATGTCCTTGAACCTAGAGTCTGGGCTTTCTTGGGGTGACGGGGATAGGGCTACTCCTTGGGGAAGGTTCTGACAAGAATAGCCTTCTAGGAAGGCCTGAGCAGGAGAGCAGGTGCAAGCTGAGCAAGGGGATTAGAGGGGGGCCTGTGGATGTTGCAACCAGTGTGGGTTGGACGTTGATGGCACAGGGCAGGCTGCCCTCCAGCCCACTGGGATTTGGAACCTCTCCTGCCCTTGCCTCCCTCTGCATTGTAGCAGCTCTTGGACAGAGGGTGGTAGGCTGGAGGCCACACCCAAGACTCCAAGGAGGAAGACTGACAGAGTAACATCTCCTAGACATGTTTTAGAGAGGGAAATTGAGCAGAGGTGGCTGTGGCCTGCATGCTGCCTAGTGGCTGGGTATCTGAAAGCACTGCAGAGGACCTGCAGAGTATGGCCCAACCCGGAAAGGGTCCTATGCTGTGCCGACACCACCACTGAGGTCGTAATTGCTCTGAAAACGCAACTGAACCCAATTATGCAGGAACTAAATTATGTGCGATGATTTTTATGTGCTGGAAACATTCAGTTGAAGCTGGGTGATTACAGGGGGACAAGAAGCAGCTGCCACTCTCTGGGAACCCATAACTCCCAACAGCTGGGAGATGTCATTTACTTCCTGTTTCTGTCAGGAATGAGGAGTGATTGGGATGGATGCTTGGCCAGGAACCTGGGGCCTGGGCCTGGGTAGGAGTAGGTCTGGGGTCCTGGGTGGGCAGGTTGGTCAGGAGGTTGGCTTCTTTCATCCCACATGATCTGGCACAGCTTATATGTCCCAGGCACCCTGGCTCCCCCAGGGTCCCCGCTGAACAAGCTGAAAAAGAAGGGGCAGGAGGCCAGCTGAGGTGGGGTAGGTCATGGCTGCCTGTCCCATCAGGGTTTGCGTCTATAGACCTGGAGCCTGTCCGCATCTTCTTGACGCGTCTGCTAGGCCACTTGGGGCAGCTGTGACCCTGGAAAAAGGCAGGTAATGACAATCGTCCATAATGAGGCTGCTTCAATAATGAGCGTGGGCCTATTACCCAACCACAGGCTGGACACATCCGAAAATAATTATTTTAAGGATCCATTAACGAATGTCTAATTAATGCCCAATTAGAGGAAAGCTACAGAGGAAATTCTATGGACAGTCAAGAGGCAAGGCCTGGTTTTACAGCCATAGCCTGGCAAGCTCAAGCATGGCAGAGAGATGCAGAGGGCCAGAAGGTGAGTCAGAGGGGGGCGGCCTCAATCTGGCAGTGTCATAGACCCCAGGGAAGCCTCATGTGTCAGCCCTGGTGTCACTCACAGTCCCTCACAGAAACATGCCTTTTCTGTAGACCCGTTCAGCTCTGTGGACTGTATTTAAAAATGAGGAAACGGAGGCACAGGGAGGTGTTGTGTGTTTGAAGTTTGGTGCACTATGTGAATGAAGCATCTCCTGAGGTATGTTTCGGTATCATGAACGCAATGCTTTACTTATTTTGAGTAATCATTTGAATAAAGGGATTGTTCAGGACTCCAGATGGGGATGTTTGCTTTGTTAGAGTCATTACTCGTGAAGGCGGCTAACGGTGAGCACGTGGCAGAGCCGGGACCAGAGCTGGAGGCTGACTTGCTGTGTTCATGGGTGTGTTCCACCCAGCAGTAGGGCTGACAGCCTGAAGAGGTGTTTGGATGGGGATTAGAGACTTTCAGGACAGAGCTCAAGAGCTGTGGAGATAACGTGGGCCTCGGGCCCAATTTTCCTGTCCAACCTCCTTGCCTAGCGCCCCCTGCATACAGTACAGTACAGTACAGCAGACAGAACCCCTGTGGGCCAAGAGGGTGGTTCACCAGTCCCCTTTCCCACCTTCTGCTCCCCATGCATCTTCCTCTTCCCGGGCAGCCCCTCACAGCTGTTTTGTCTCTCTCCCCACCAGGGTGCTGTGTGGAATTGCTGCTGCTGCTGCTGGCTGGGGAGCTACCCCTGGGTGGGGGCTGTCCTCGAGACTGTGTGTGCTACCCCGCACCCATGACAGTCAGCTGCCAGGCACACAACTTCGCTGTCATCCCAGAGGGCATCCCAGAGGACAGCGAGCGCATTTTCCTGCAGAACAATCACATCACTTTCCTCCAGCAGGGCCACTTCAGCCCCGCCATGGTCACTCTCTGGATCTACTCCAACAACATAACTTTCATTGCTCCCAACACCTTCGAGGGCTTTGTGCACCTGGAGGAACTAGACCTTGGAGACAACAGGCAGCTGCGAACTCTGGCACCTGAGACCTTCCAGGGCCTTGTGAAACTTCATGCCCTCTACCTCTATAAGTGTGGGCTGAGCGCCCTGCCCGCAGGCATCTTCGGTGGCCTGCACAGCCTGCAGTACCTCTACTTGCAGGACAACCACATTGAGTACCTCCAAGATGACATCTTTGTGGACCTGGTCAACCTCAGTCACTTGTTTCTCCACGGCAACAAGCTTTGGAGCCTGGGCCAAGGCATTTTCCGTGGCCTGGTGAACCTAGACCGGTTGTTGCTGCATGAGAACCAGCTACAGTGGGTCCATCATAAGGCTTTCCATGACCTCCACAGGCTGACCACCCTCTTCCTCTTCAACAACAGCCTCACTGAGCTGCAGGGTGACTGTCTGGCCCCTCTGGTGGCCTTGGAGTTCCTTCGCCTCAATGGTAATGCCTGGGACTGTGGCTGCCGGGCACGTTCCCTGTGGGAATGGCTGCGGAGGTTCCGAGGCTCCAGCTCCGCAGTTCCCTGTGCCACCCCTGAGCTGCGGCAAGGCCAGGATCTGAAGCTGCTGAGGGCCGAGGACTTCCGGAACTGCACAGGACCAGCATCTCCACACCAGATCAAGTCACACACGCTTACCACCTCTGACAGGGCTGCCCGCAAGGAGCACCATCCATCCCATGGCTCCTCCAGGGACAAAGGCCACCCACATGGCCATCTGCCTGGCTCCAGGTCAGGTTACAAGAAGCCAGGCAAGAACTGCACCAGCCACAGGAACAGAAACCAGATCTCTAAGGTGAGCACTGGGAAGCAGATTCCTGAACTGCAGGACTATGCCCCTGACTACCAGCACAAGTTCAGCTTTGACATCATGCCCACCGTGCGACCCAAGAGGAAGGGCAAGTGTGCCCGCAGGACCCCCATCCGTGCCCCCAGTGGGGTGCAGCAGGCCTCCTCGGGCACTTCCCTGGGGGCCTCGCTCCTGGCCTGGATACTGGGGCTGGCGATCACTCTCCGCTGAGGACCAGGGCAACATTACCCAGCACTGCCACAAGTCCAGCAAGGAACAGAATCTTTTCTCCTTTTTTTTTCCTAAGTGGAAGATCTGCTGGGTTTCAGAAAAAGGCTGCTAAAGCCTTCAGCCACAGTCTGGATCCTTCCTGGTGGATTATAAGCCCAAAGTGTACAGCTCTAGACAGGAGGGGTAGCACATCTCGCCTGGTTGTCCTGGCCCAACACCTACGGACAGCATCCACTCCAGCACAGTGGTCAAAGGCACACGAAGTGAATCATTAGTAGTGACAGACAGGACATGTGCCCTTTGCAGAAGCTGGGCTCTGTGGCATCCTGATCATCTGGAAAGAAGGGCCGAAGGAGCAGGACTCAGGACAAGGCTTACCCAGAGCCAGCTGGGGCAGCCAGCAGTCTCAGAGCACTCTTAGCTCTTGTCTGAAGCTACTTAGTCAACCTGCCCAGTCCAACCCTATGCCACCCTCTGTCCCTGCCTGTGGGGTAATGCCTCTCATTCCTGATGTCTCAGGCAGTCCTGGCAGACCTGCTGGGGTCCAAGAACCAATCACCAAAGGAAAGATCGCCAGAGGATGGCATTTAGAACTTTACTGGCAATGACAGTCACATAGAAGGTGCAGTTTTATACCTGTGTCCACTTATGTATATTCTCACTCCCTACCCACACAACCCACCCAATATAAATATATAAATATATATAAATATATAAATGCACAGCTCCCCCCCACTCCTTACCAAACTGTATGTCTTATCATGTTTATAAACTATACGGGAACCTATATTTGCTCAACTACAGAATGTATTGGTAATTTCTAGCAAGAAAAGAAGCTGTGGCGTTTTTGTTCAGAATCCCAACTGGCAAAGGTGCTTACTGGGGCAAAGGTGTCAGTGGGAAGAGTTGAGGAGGAAGAGAAACAGTGAGAATCACTTCAGGGGACCAACATTCTTAGATACTTAGAACATCACCTTGTTTTTATATGCAACACATGCCTGTCTGGCACCCTGGAGCACCCCACTACCGCTATTGTAGAAGCTGCAGGCGTTGGTTGTGGTGAGAAGTGGGAAGTAGCTTGTCAGATGTCAGGGTGCTGGAGGCAAGCTAGGTGGAGCAGGGGAAGGGGCTTTGGGTTTTTTTAAGCCAGAAGACAAGGCAGCATCCGCAGTGTTAGTCCAGTGGGTTGGAGGAGAGTGTCCTTCTAGCGTTTTGCCAGTGATGGTCTATGCAGGCCAGGGAGGCTCTGAGCTCTGACTCATGGGAGGCTTAGCTCCAGTTTTGACCTGCTGAGGGCCATGAATAGTTTGGCAGTGGAAAAGAATCTAGTGGCCTTAGCAGATGAGGGCATTTCAGTAACCATCTCAGGCACTCTAAATTCCAGAGATCCTGTTCCTCCTGATCATTCTGGATATACCCCAGGACAGGCAGAGGTCAGAGGGCCAGACTCAGGGGTCAGAGCCCAAACATGCAGCATGCAAGGAACACAACAGGCAAGCTCAGTCAGGGAATAGGGGCTGTTGGCTCGAAGGTCTCCAGCAAGCACAATCTCTTGTGCTTTGCACAAATATGAATCTGAATCCTTTACCAGAGGGTGTGTGAGGAATAAGAAATGCTGAATCCAATTAAGAGAGAAAAATAATAAAAAAAAATTCTCTTGGAAAAGAACCCTGTTTTTCATTTCATAACCCCACATTCCTGATGGGGTGGTAGATCCTGGGCTTTGGTGGGGTGGGCGAGCCTGGCCAGGCTTGACTCTGAGAACACAGCATGGTTATTGGCAGGAGGAACCATAGGGAACAGAGACACACTGACTCATGGAAACACATATGAACATTCTCTCTCTCTCTCTCTCTCTCTCTCTCTCTCTCTCTCTCTGTCTGTCTCTCTCTCTCTCTCTTTCACTAGCATAGAACACAATTTACTTCCCACATGCTGGCTGCCCAGGTCAGTACCATTTCCGTGCCTTTTCCCTGCAGAAGGGTTCCGAAAAGCCACAGCTGCTGATTCTGGGTGTCTGAAAAAGGCAACAGCCAGTTCTTGGTCCTCAAGCATTTTCCACAGTCCAGGAATTGACCAAGACAGCAGAGGGCAAGGGCCTGGAAGCTATGTCTGCCTCTCTGGCATCACAGATGGAGAGCAGAGGGCTGTTTTTAGTACAAGATTCAGTGCATTCATGAAAGGAGGCCTCATGCTGCAAAACAAATAATTGCCATCCTGCCGCCATGGTTTGCCTGCTCTTACCCAGGCCCATGCCCAGGTCCCTTAAAATTCAAGCAAGTTGTTATGTTGTTGGTTTCATTTCCAACCCCAGGCAGCAAGGCCCTCAGTGGGAAAATCAAAAGTCTGAGCACTTTATTAAATTTAAAAAAAAAAAAAAAAAAGACTTAGCAAGTCCTATATGGAAGAAGCAATTGTCAGCCAGAAGAGCGGGAATGTCTGTCTCTTAAAGGCTCTGTTGAAGTGTGCCAGCATAATCCCCGTGGTTGAGGTTTTCCAGGCTGGGCAGTGGGGCCCAAGACACTGGGTGTATTTTTAGTAGCTTTCTCCCCTAGGAGGTAGAAGGGATGAAGGCTGTTGCTGATGACATCATTTGTCACTCAACAGCTCATATGCTGCACAGTTAGAATGACACCATTGTTCCAAAATCAAAACCAGTTGACTCTCAGAAGCTAAATGGAGCTCTCTCTCTTCAGCAAGCCCAGCCGCTTCCCCCACCAGCATTCAGGGCAGGGTGCTGTGGAGTTCTGCTCCCCTAAAGGTTTCAGTCTCCCCCGCTTGTCCCCAATAGGGAACAGAACAGTTCCTCTGCCATTTTTTTTTTTTTAAGTTTATGGATTGTTTTGTTTTGTTGAGGCAGGGCCTTGAACTCACTTTGTAGCCAAGAAGGCTGCCCTTGAACTGCGGATTCTCCTGCCTCTGTCTACCAAAGGACTCGCTGTTGTCTTGATTGAATTTTTTTTTTTTCTTTCTTTTTTTGGTTTTCTGAGACGGGGTTTCTCTGTTTTGTTTTGGAGCCTGTCCTGGAACTCACCCTGTAGACCAGGCTGGCCTCGAACTCACAGAAATCTGCCTGCCTCTGCCTCCCGAGTGTTGGTATCAAAGGTGTGCGCCACCAACACCCAGCTGTTTGATGGAACTTTTTAAAAGAGTATTTTGGGGGCCTAAGGTGATACGTGAGTTGGCAAAGCTCTTGTTGTGTGAGCCTAAGGACCTAAGTCCCAATTCACAGCATCTATGTGTATGCCTGTAATCCCGACACTGGAGAGGCAGGGCAGGAGGATCCTTAGGACTTGCTACCCAGAAAATTCTTTAAGTTCCAGATTCAATGAGAGACCCTCTCTCAAAAAATAAGGGTGGAGGGCCGGCAAGATGGCTCAGCAGATTAAGACACTTGCTGTACAAACTTGATGATCTGAGTTCATCCACAGAATCCATATAAAAGGGGTAGATTATCGGACCCACAAAGATATCCTCTGACCTGTGAGTGCCATAGCACACCCACACTCACAAAGCACATAACACACTAATAGTGATTGTAATAATATATTTAAAAGAAAATAAGGCAGAAAGGAACTGAGGAAGAAATCTCTGACCTATAGACACAGGCACAGCATATACATTATACCCACACACATGTACACATGAACACATCCCTGACATCCCCAAGTGTATTTTGCCTGTCAAGCATATTCAGACCACACACACACACACACACACACACACACACACACACACACACACACACACACACACACACACACACTCCCTTTTTTTGCCCCTCCTGTCTCTCTTAATCCCCTTTGTCTCCTACTTTTATTTCTACTTTGTCTCCTCATTTTACTTCTTTCTTTTTCTAAAAAAAAAAAAAAAATTATTTTTACTTTAAGTGCACTGTTGTTTTGCCAGCATGTATGTCTGTGGGAAGGTGTCAGATTCCCCTGGAACCAGAGTTACAGACAGTTGTAAACTGCCACGTGGATGCTGGGAATTGAACCTGGGTCCTCGGGAATATCATCCAGTGCTCTTAACTGCTGAGCCATCTCTCCAGTCCCCTACTTTTATATCATACAAATAAATATACATGCATATATCATACATGATTTCATAGGCTTATATAAAATGTTAAAACTAAAAATGAAAGGAAATATAAGATTCTTTAGATGGATTTACTTTACTTAATATTATTATTGCCAGTTTGCCTGCTTCCGTTTTCTTGTTGTTGTTATTGATGGTTTTAGACAGGGTCTTGTGTTGCCCAGGCTGGTCTCTAGCTAGCTATGGAGCTGGGGATGACCTTGAACTTCTCTGATCCTCCTGACTGTTTCTCCGCAGTGCTGGGAGTACCCTGCACCAGGGTTATGTGGTGCTGGGGACCAGACCCAGACCCTTGTGCATGCTAGGCCAGCGTTCTAGCAACAGGCTTGTGTCGCTCCCACCCCCATACTGCCACTTTTACTCAGCACTCTTTGAGAACCCTAGGAGAGATCATCTCCTTCCTTTATCTCCCCCCCCCCACCTCCAGCAGCCTTCTATTCTACAGTGATAGAGGACAGAGCCAGGCATTTGGGAACATGGGGTGGTTCCTGGCACCCTCAGACAAGCCTCTTCCATGACCCAAGGGCTTGGATGGCTCTTCATTGTTCATTCAGCAAACAAATGGACCAGCCATTGTCTATGCTTTGGGGACAGGAAAGTGAGAAGGTAGGCTCTCTGAGGAGCTGAAGGCCTGAGCCTTCTCAGCCTCTGCAGAACTGGAGCCTGTGTTAGCATAGTCCTCCAAAACAAGGGGCTCAGAGAGGGTGTCCAGGAAGAGTAGTAGTCTCTGAAGTAGGTTCTGAAGAAAGAGAAGTACCCAGAGAAGGATGTGGGAGACTGCCAGGCGGGGGGCTGGAGGCACATAGTAACTCAGCTTATGAGGTCTCTATGAACAGCTATGAGCTAAGGATGGAGTGCTGTTGGCTGGGGTGCAAGAGGGGGGCTTAGGGAGTCCCACTCAGGGACTCTGACTCTCCTTGGAAGCAGAGGGAGTGTGTGGCTCCCCTGCCTGAGCTCTTTTCCACTCCCCAGCCTCATCATAAGCACGTGGGCTCCCATGGCACCCTCGTCACTGTTCCTCAACTGTGGGTTTCATCATCACCACTTGCCTCTTATGCTCAGCCAGATCCTTCCTTGTGCCAGCAAACTGGAGTGCTCACTGGAAGTCTGCCTGGGCCCCAGTCCCATTCCCAGACACCTGCTGCTTCCAAGCTCACAATGTTGCCCATACCGTTTAGCGTCCATTGGCACCTAGTGTTCCAGGCTTTCCCACCCTCATGGCATGGCTCCTCCCTCAGCTGGCCAGACTCCCCAGCTGCAAGGAGCCACAGGCAGTTCCAGGACTCCCTCTTTTGAGCTCTACTCCTCCTGCTAGGCATGTTCATTACCAGAGAGCCAAGAACCCCACGTGGCAAATGTTGCCTGTCACCTAGCAAATCACCTGGAACTCTGCAAGCAGTGGAGCCCAGGAAGTCTGGAAGCAACAGGTCTGAGGAGGTAGGGGAGCCAGGAAAGCTTCTCTGTGGACCAGGGCAGGCTCAAGAGAGGAGTTTGCTGGGAACTCTCAGGAAACATCCCTTGGATTAGCACCACGCCCCCACTGCCTCAATTAAGGCCCTCCTGGACTATGACAGGCTTGGTTACTAAGGGCCTAGGCTTGTTTCCATGCTGATGTGGAAGAAGCTAGCCTATTTTCTTGAAACAAACAAACAAACAAGCTTGTTTTTTCTTCCTCCTCCTCTTTTTCTGATGTGTGTATGTATGTGCACCAGATAAGGTGGACATGCCACGGCATGTATGTGGCAGTCACAGAACAACATTGTGAGTTGGTTCTTTGCTTCCACCTTTGGGTTCCAGGTAGCAGGTCATCAGGTTAGCAAGCACCCTTAGTTGCTGAGTCATCTGAAGGTCCCTTTCTTTGTGTGGGGGGGTGGGGGTGGGAGCAGGGTCTTACATAGCTCAGCCTGGCCTTAAATTTCTGGTCCCCCTGCCTCCACCTCCCAAGTGCTGGCACTGTAAGTGTACATCATCATGCCTGGCTATGTTTTGTTGTATTTGTTTATTTATTTTTTGAGACAATCTTTTTTTTTAAGATTTTATTTATTATGTATACAATGTTCTGCCTGCCTGTATCCCTGCAGCCCAGAAGAGGGCACCAGATCTTACTATAGGTGGTTGTGAGCCACCATGAGGTTGCTGGGAATTGAACTCAGGACCTCTGGAAGAGCCGTCAGTGCTCTTAGCCTCTGAGCCATCTTTCCAGGCCCTTCCCCCCTTTTTTAAAGATGTTATTTATTATGTATACAATGTTCTGCCTGCCCACGTAGATGCTGGGAATTGAACTCAGGACCTCTGGAAGAGCAGTCAGTGCTCTTAACCTCTGAGCCATCTTTCCAGACCCTTCCCCCCTTTTTTAAAGATTTTATTTATTATGTATACAATGTTTGGCCTGCATGTATGCCTGGAGGCCCAAAGAGGGCACCAGATCTTACTATAGGTGGTTGTGAGCCACCATGTGGTTGCTGGGAATTGAACTCAGGACCTCTGGAAGAGCAGTCAGTGCTCCTAACCTCTTTGCCATCTCTCCAGCCCCTTTTGAGACAATCTTGCCTGTGGCCCAGGTTGACCTT